ACGAGTGTGGGTGCATTTTTATATTATTTATTATTATTTATTATTATTGTATATTATTATTAATTATTATTTATTATTGTTTATTATTATTATTATTATTATTATTATTATCGTTATAATCAACGTATCATTACGATCGATTTGAGGATATTTGCGTTTTTTTTGAGTATTTTCGTTTGTTAGTTTAGAATTTATAAGTTGTAGTTTGGTGTTTGATGGTTGTAGTTTGGTGTTTGATGTTTGTAGTTTGGTGTTTGATGTTTGTAGTTCGGAGTTTGTAGTTTGCTTTGTGCTAATAATAATCGGAAATGTTTTGTTGCAGTGAGAACGATTTGAGGACAGAGGCGGACGACCTATACAAAATCCGCTTGAGACCCGTTCAGGATCCGATAACGCACGCGTGGCGGTGCGGTAAGGCGGTCGTGAACGCGGGCGGTGCCTTCAATCAGCGGTCGGTTATTTAGTTGTTTTTGGATTTATTGGAAAGCGAGTGAGATATAATTGGAACGCAGGAGGTTCAGAGATAGAAAACGACTGAAATATTATTGGAACACGAGAGATTCAGAGATAGAAACGACAGAAATATAATTGAAACTTAGGAGATTCAGAGACTGTTTTGGGTAACGCAGGATTTTTACAGATTTGTTACGAAAGCGGAATACGACGAGAGTGGGCCGAATATTTGCAGGCAGAAATATTTTAAATTTTGTTGAAAATTTAAAAATTTTTTAAATTTTTTTAAAATTTTAAAGAATTTTCCGTTGTGCAGTCATTCCTGTTGAGGGATGGCGTGAAAAGGATTCGGTGTGTGATCTCATATAGAGGGTTTATTGTATTGTATTGTTATTGTTTTTGTTGATTTTAATGTATTGTTAATATTGTTTTATTGTATTAATAGGAGGGTGTGGGCGGGGCTTGGTATTGAAGTGGGCGGGGCTTGATACGGTAGTGGGCGGAGTTTGATGATTGCGGTATGATGGGTGTTATTGTTTTTAATGTGCCGTATTGTTAACATTGTTCTTATTGTGCTGATAGGAGAGTGTGGGCGGGGCTTGGTATTGAAGTGGGCGGGGCTTGATACGGTAGTGGGCGGAGTTTGATGGTTGCGATATGATGGGTGTTATTGTTTCTAATGTGCGGTATTGTTAATATTGTTTTTATTGTATTGGTGGGAGGATGTGGGCGGGGCTTGATATTGAAGTGGGCGGAGCTTGATACGGTAGTGGGCGGGGCTTGATAGTGGGGGTAATCTATTGTATTGTATTGTTATTGTTAAAACGAATGCTCAATAAAAGATTTATTTGTGATTTTTTGGGTTATTAATTGGAGATGATGTTTATTTTCATCATTATAATGATATACTTGTCGAGAGGACTTATTTTTGAATTTTTTAATTTTGGTTTTAATTTCAGGTTTTTGTATTTATAATTTCAGGTTTTTATATTTATTATTATTGTAATTATTAAAATTTTTAATGTTTGTTCAGTGGATTTGAAATTGCTGTCGTTTCGTTTCAGAGTGAATTTGGTTCGTCGAATTCGAAAGAATCGAAATTTCATTTTCAGTGGATTACCAATTTTCACGGGAAATTTTTTATGCGGTGGGAAATTTTTTGGGGAAAGTAAAAGTTTCGGGAAAGAAAAATGTCTGCGGGACCGATTATCGAGAGAAATCAAGGTAAGGGGGCGGTTATTTTTATTATTATTGTTATTGTTATTATTATTATTTATTGTTATTATTATTTATTGTTATTTATTATTATTTATTATTATTTATTATTGTTATTTTGTTGTAGTACCGGATATGCGGCGGCCGATTCGAGTGCAGATGGTCAATTGGGTGG